GTATCTTTATCTCATCACAGGACAGCAAACACTCAACCCGTGTCCTGTATGCTCTCCCCTCTGACCGAACAGCTCGGTTTCTCTTCCATTTACTGTACAAATCTAAAAGTTGCTGCAATGTCATCATATGATTGCATATTTATCCTCTCTTTCCAATCCGAAAGACCCTGACAGATCCTATCCCTGATTCCTTCATGTCTCTTCACACTTCTTATCTTTCATTCTTCTAGTAACAGTGAACCCCATCCCTTTTCCAGAGCAGTTTCTGTTGCATCATTTAGCACCCCTGTGTCTCCCACTGCTATGTCTAGCCCTTTGCATTTGTGTGTTTGAGTGTGTCACTGTGATTCTGAAAATGTTTCAGAAGCTTTTGTGAGTGTCTACTTGATTGTTCCTGTGCAAGTAACTTTGTGTGAGTGTGCGAACTGTCAACCTCTGTCAGCTTTGTGAAACTGCCTTTGGTTGTCCTCAGGACACTCAGTGCGTAAATGGCTTGCACTCATGCAAATATGAACAGTCTCTCAGTGGGTGGACAAAGAGCCAGATGGGATTTTCACAAAGCTTTCTATTTAGCATGAGTCAAACATGTGTCTTAGGCAGGGCAACACATCACCGAGTGGCAGGACAAGGACAATGCAGTCTACAGTATTTCTGCCTCGATGCAAAGCCACTCGTACTTATCTCTGTGTGTTTCGGTGTGAACCACTAGCCTTCACCATCAGCACTACGCCAGTGCACCCGACGGGCTCCAAAGTTATGCTTTACATTGGGAAACTCACAATGTGGTCTGGTTTCCTGGCTGAGCTACATCCCTGCCCTCATCCATAGCCACATGCTGTGGCTAGTGACCGAAAGTATAAGACTGCAATTACAAGCAGCAGAGACTAGGTTCCACTTAAGAGTGTCTAACGTATCCTTTGCCGGTAGAGCAGGTGATCAGAAGGTGCACAGAGCAGAGATGATTCTCCTTCACACTGAAAGAAGCCAATTTAGGTTCGGGCATCTGTCCAAAATGCTTTCTGCCCACCTCCCAGGTGAGCTTGTTTTAATCATGTCCAACTGGGAGGAGATCCTCTGGCACGCCCATAACATGTTTCTTTGTTGGCTTGGGAATGCCACAGTGTTTCCATATAGGAAGAGATGAGCTTTAGTGGACTCAATAGATGGATGAAACTCTCAATGAAAATACTAACATGCTGGTGATAGGGTGGCAAATTGATTGCCATGTCTTTCATCCTGGCTTACTATGTTACTACACTGACATGAACTAATTACCATTGAAAAGAAAGTACAGATGTGGTTCGCCAGAATTTCGATATTTCACAAACCTCATCAGGATTCATACCCTTAGACCATGAATGTCTGAAAAAAGTTTCATGAAATTCATCTGGATCAAGCTGTGAACTGACTGACAGACCAACTGTGGAATCTGTAGAACCATGCCATTATCCTGTCTAAAAACCTAGCACTTTGAAAGGAGCCTATGATGCACATTGTACAAGTAGTTTGCGTGTGCCTTAATTTATTACAGCAGACCAATCTAAGCAATCTCATACATGTTCATACATGATAGAAGTGAGTACGTAAGACAGAAACATATGAAACAACATACATTGGTGCTATTGGCGCAAAAGTGAACACTATTATATATGTGAGAATAGGGAATATACTCTTTTGTATCACCTCAAGTCAGAAACTGTCTTCAATAAGGATAGTGGTAAAAATTTTCACTAAGTGGGTTTTTTTTATTTGCCCACCTAGCATAGCGTGAATAAAAGCCTCATTTCCAGTAACTCACTTGGTCCTGCTTTAGAGAAAGGAGACACAGTGGCTTCTATACCTTCCTAGATTGCATTCATTTTATTCCACCTATTCCCCAGTCTCATCTAAAGGTTCACCCACAAGCTGTGAGTCAGACGGCAAAATGAGCCACCCACAAACCCCTCCCTTCACCCCATCTGTCTATCTAAACAGCCAATTCAGGGATGGCACAGAAGGTACGTCAACTACGCAATAACTAATTATTTGGAAAATCTAGTCAGAAGACAGATCTCTGTAAGCCTAAACTTAATAAGGCAAAGGAGTATATAACCTCTGTTTCAACATATGCTTTTGCTGACTCCTGTTGAGCCAGCTGCTACTGTGTGCAGACAATATCTAACTTGTTTACAATATAAATTGAGCTGTTTTCAGTGCAATTGTCTACCCGTTGCAACCTTTTTAATAATCATTTCTTGGTGTCTTTCCTTTGCTTTCATTTTAATAAAATTAAAAAAAACTGGAATATAGTGCGCCGTGGTAAAAAATGTTTTTAAAAATTACATTTTTGATATAGTTTTTGCATTGAAAATATTTTAATGCTGGGGGCATCTTTTCTAATAATGGCCCCTTTTGTGCATGCATGAACACCAATAAATATCAAAGATTTCTGTCCTCCCACTCTGCTGTCACTATTTTCTGTCTCCACTGACTGAGTGTTTGGATAGCAGTGCACAATGTGTTATATAAGCTTTGTTAAACAGATCAAGAAATTCCCCAGGTCCCACCTTATACAGAAGACAAGCTGTGTTTCACTTAACTGGCTTCCTCATTACAGCTGATGTGTGCACAACCAGTGTAATGGAGCATAATCTAATCATCCTGAGAGAACTGGATACATAGAAAACAATCGACAGTAAAAACGCACCAATATACACCAGTGCTTAAATGTATAGATGTACGAATGGACTCTGAAACACTTTCTGAATGCGCAGGCACTCATTCTCACACGCACACGTATCAGACAGAGCTGGACAGCTCTCCCATTTGTTGAATAATGCATTAAGAGGCTTGTTGCCACAAGGAAATGATAAGCCTTGCTTCTCATGGTATAGAGGAGGTTTAATTATCCGGTGTCTGTGTAATCACATGGAAACAGCTTCCCACTCGTCTTTCATTAGGCCTTTTATAGCCGTTATAGCTGAGTGGGCACTGTTTTATGAATTATTGAACAAATTTTGTCGTGCACATGTACATCTTAAGGCCTCAAGGTTGCAAATTTTCTTCAAACCAGTGGTGAGACAGAGCAAATGTCCTCCGCTAGCCTATCTGGTCTCTTTCATTTGAGGAGTAGGAGAAAGGACAGGAGCTGTTGTGTCATGTGCTGGTTTTGGGTAAACACAGACAGAAAGCCTTAAAATAGATTTTTTTTCTCTCTCTTTGTTTAGACTGTCTCTGGTGCTGGACAGATGGGATTTCATTTTGCACAAAGTGATGTGTGAAAGAAAACGATGCTCCGGTTGCTGTGCTTAAATGATACTGCTAAGAGCCGCCAGACACACATTCTGCATCCATCAATCAGCAGTGAAACAACTTCAATATGTAGTTTTTATACCAGTCAGTTCCGCTAAAGCTTTGCTGAGCATAAAAAAGGGGGGCCTGAAAAAAAAAAACATGATCTGAGACATTTAGGTCACTATAAATTGCATGCTCCTGGGAGTTTATTTCCTGTGCAGTATGTGCTTGCTTGGACTGTACAAGAATAGTTACATCAGAAGGCAGTTCTCACGCCACTCCTGAATTATATAAGTTTTTCTCTGGTGGTATCCACCACAGTCTAAGATGAGGCGAGCCAACATTATGTAAATTAAACAATTAGTCTTCCTCTTTCCCACTAGACTAGATCGCTTTAGGTGAAGCTCCCGTTGCTTGTGCACATTCCTTTATCTTGCTGTATGATACGTTGTGTGGATAGGTTCGCTGCACCACACTCTTCTGCATGAGCTTAGACACTGTTTTGAAATTACATACATTTTTGTGACATATTATTTACTTCCAAGTTACAACAAAATTATACTCAAAGAAAAAGTATTTTTTCCAAATAATTTTACTAAAGCATTTCATTATAATGTAATGTAATATATGACATGTAACATTATTTACAGCAAAAATGGACCACAGTTGGCATAGTAAGTAGTAAGAATGCTTTATGTTTAAATGCTTCAATCACACAGGTCTAGAGGCTGGTTAGCCATCATGTAGCAACCACTGGTTGGAGAATACACATTTTTCCTCATGACCAGTGGTTCTGAGTGGTTGGTGGCAGTTGCTGTGAATTTGATTGTCAAATCCCTCTTCATGCAAGCCTTTCAGAGACCTGCATGCAAGTGTATTCTGTGACAGATTGGCGAGTGGTTACGAGTGGTTAGGCGGCGCAAAATTGAGTGCACAGGGGTATTTGGTGCTACATCAAAACATCCTTGCAATTGCTTTGATTGCTAGCAGGTTGCTAGGGTCGCCTGTAGCTTGCATGGCAGACATAAACTTGGCTGCAAATACCAGCAAACTACTCATCAAGCAGTGAGGAATGACTGAAAACTCTGATGCAGTCTGGAAATAAAGGTTTCACTTGAAATGTGTTGGTTGCAGTGGTAGGGTACAACTTTTGCTTTGAAAGCAAACATTCCCTATTTCCAGAGAGTGTCGCACTTTCTCGTGCTTCACTCGCTCACAGTAAAATGGGGAGTATTTGCAGTATTTCATTCAAACTATATACAACTGTGAGCAAATCAATCGCAAGAAGGTTTTCGGTACAGCACTCTTTTTTGCAAACAATCACAAGTGTCAACCAGTTACCTACAGCAACCACTTGGGCATTTCTTTGTGAACAGTGACTGCCGGTCGCTAACCTGTCTCAAGGCCTGTGTGACTGAGGAATTGCTATTTTATATCCAAAGAAAGAGAAACTTTAAATTTCTGTATAAAAATGTCATTAAAATGAACTGACAAGAGTAAACTGTAACTGACTGACTGCACTGACCCTAAGGGTACTGCAAAGTGTGTTGACATAGAGGGGGAGGGATCTTAAATTTGTTTTTCTAAGATGCTAAATTCCCCACTGGCCTTTTTAATTCTGAAAAATAAAAATAAAAATATAAGCAAAAACCCTTCAGAGTCATTCACATGCACTGAAAACACTCCTCCGCATTGCCTTCGGTTTGTGTGTGTGGACATCTTCATACCTGGATGCCCTCTGTGCCGGGCTGCTGCAATAGTTTGACGGTGCGTGTGTGTGCTGTCTTCTGGCCACGGCCGTCGTGCCAGGTCAGGTTGCTGCCTCCGGCGTGACGCGGCAGCTGGTAACTCAGCTCCTCAGCAGACACCGTGTGCTCCAGGGAGGCACGGCAAAAACTGAAGCTGGACGCCGCTGACAAGAGAGCAAAGAAGAAGAACCAGCAAATGAAACAGAACGAAACAAGCAGAGGAGAAATAATAGCTACTGATAAGCACTCACTTTGTATTTTCTTTACAAAAGGGGTTTTCATAAGGTCCATGGACTAAGAAACAAGAACATCCAAACCTAACAAAAATAAATGATTGATAATCCTCTAGGAGCTTAACAGGAAGCATTCACCCCAGATTACATGCTGTGTGTTCTGATTCTATAACAGCTACAAACAGATGGCTGTTTTGGTGATGGTAGTGGGCAGCAGTGCAACTACAGTGTGATCTCCAATTATGCTGAGTGCATATTCACAGAGGCACCGCATGATTTCTGGAACTGTGTCTCTCTTTCAGATTAGTCCTTGATTATTTAAATCCTACTTCATGAATATTTTATTTTTTTTCTTTTTCTATCTTTACCCCCGTTCCCTGTCAAGACTAAATGCTTGCTATGAGACACTGAAGCAGACAAGTTGTCAGTGCGGGGTCAGAGTATAGTTCTGTGAAGGCCAAAGGGCATCTTCTACAGTTCACATCAAGTTGAATGAGCTATTTTACTGCGGTTAGTCATCTGTAGCCATGGATTTATTTCAAAGCGTAGACACGCAGTCATTGCTCAGTTTACCTAAGCATTGATTTAATGTGATGTAATGCAAATAATAAGAGGCTAGGCGGCAGGAGGCAGTAGAGGGGTAAAAAGGTCAAGAGGGTGTGTAAACAGAAAGAGAACTGATGACAATTAACTGGTTAACATAGTCATTTTGCGGTAATTAAAAAAAATGTGGTTGATAAGAAACCTGCTTATTAGTGGTAAATGAGAAACCTTGTTTACATGCAACCACTGATATTCTGTAAATCATTTATACACTCATTCTTGATTATTTTGGTTCAAACAAAAATGAAATAATATTTACGTTTTGACTGCAAGCTCTTTGCCAGTCGAGTAAGATTTGTTTAATTTCCATTTTGTGGTACACTTATTCAAGTTCTCATGAATGCAAACATCAAATCAGACACTAACATGGTTGCAGCTCGGTGCATTTAGGCAGTGTCAGAATGGGGAAGAAAAGGTGATTTAAGGGACTTTTAACGTGACATAACTGTTTGTAACAGATGGTCTGGTCTGAGCATTTAACAAACTGCTGAGCTACTGGGATTTCCCCCCCATCTTTACCATCTCTAGAGTTTCCAATGACTGGTCATAAAAAGAGAAGATATCCAGTGAGCTGCAGTTCTCTGAGTGAAAATGCCTTGTTGATGCCAGAGGTCAGGGGAGAATGGTCAGACTGAGCTGACAGCTAGGCAACAGTAACTCAAATAACCACTTGTTACTACCAGGGTATCCAGAGGAGCATCAGAGAATGCATATGTCAAACTTTGAAGCAGATAGTCTACTGGTATGTGTCCATTCCTGTCAGCTAAGAAAAGGAAACAGGCTATAATTCACACACGCTCACCAAAATTGAATAACAATGGAATAATTTTGTCTGGTCAGGTGACTCTCGATTTCTGCTGCAACATTTGGGTGGTGGAGTCAGAATTTGATGCCTGGATAGACTAGAAGAAAGCCAATGACTCAATGGCTCACATGGATCCTAAAATGTCTATAATTATACAAGATCAACATGGTCTTTTGAACAAGTCACCATCAAATGCGGGATATACCAGGATGCTCTGTCACGACTGCTGTTTGGCAAACGGCCTAAAAAACACCCTTAGCCAGATCATCAGCCAGACTGGCTACAGGTACCGAATACAGAATGGAGTAAACATTAACCACCTCCTCTACATGGATAACATCATGTATGTTATAAGTTAAAAACGATATAAATTCTAGGACTAGGATCAACGACATCAAAATGCCATTTAGACTGGAGAAGTGTAGCTGGATCGTAACTAAGAGAGGGAAAGTAGTCGGAACTGAGGGGAATGCACTACCAAAAGGCAACACTGCAGACATCAAGGACAGATACAAGTACCTGAGAATCCCACAGACAAATGTGAAGCACTTGAAAAGAGACCACATCTTTGCTGCAACCACCAAATACCTGCAGGGAATAAGGCAAGTCCTGAAGAATCAGCTGAATGGGAAGGACAAGATCTGGGCAATCAATACCTACATCCTACCACTCATCAGATACCCTGCTGGGATAATCAGCTGGCCAAAGGAGGTGACAGAAGCCACCTACATCAAGAGTTTCACCACAAATGCAGCAATCTGTAACTATAAACTAAGTGGAAGGATGGAGGCCGAGGACTAGCGTGTGTCAGATCCACTATCCAGGATGAGACAACGAACATCCATGACTACATTAGAAAGATGGCCACAAGTGATCACATGCTTAGTACATACCATGAGAAAGAATAGGAGCAACATCAGGACCCATTATGGAAAGACAGGTCCCTGCACTGTACATACCACCGGCAGATAGAAGAAGTGGCTGCAGCACAAGTATGAGCTCTAAGTACAAGCTCGATAGAGGCACCAAACACAACCCCAGGTGCAGGCTGTATAAAAATGTCCCTGAGACAATCCAGCACATAACAGCAAGGTGCAAGATGCTAGGAGGCAGGGCATACATGGAACACAATCAAGCGACTGACATAGTATACAGGAACATCTGTGCTGAGTATGGCCTGCAAGTCCACAAAAGGTCAAAATGGCACACACCCATAGGGTTGTTAAGAATGACCAAGCTAGGGTCTTGTGGGACTTCCAGATACAGACACAACTGATGATGGCTATTCAACTGGAGACAGTAGTGGTGGACAAACACTTCTACTTCAAACCACAAGTTTTATCTGACTATGTGAAAACCATTAGTGAGATGGAGACAGACTTGCTGATGATAGAAGTAAAAGTGAAATGTGGAATAATAAATGTTGTATTCATTACTTATTGATCTGAAAGTCTCTTTACAAAAGAAGAACAAAAGCACATGCTTTGAGGGAACAACAACAAAAACTCCATCTTCTGTGAATGATTTCTTAAATTCTTTTCCTCATTCGTCCAAAGAGAGAAGCGAGAAACTGAACTGGGCTGAATCTGATCTTTCTGATGTGTTCATCTATCAGTCTACCAATTTTCTACATTTTTTTTCTGTCTTTAAGGGACTTTTGACACTTGGTCATCTTGAAAGATAGAAAGAAAGAAAGAAAGTTCATTAACTAACAAAGGATTATAATCTTTCCATTTCCATATTAGAATTAAATAAAGGCCTGCTGAGACCTGCTGTATGACAGCTGAAAATGGTGGGAAACAGCTGGTTGCAGCTCCGAGTCAGGAGGGGACACTTTTTTTTTCATCCTACACGTCGGTCGAAGTGAGCAGTGGTGAATACAGAATTCACACAGCCATGATGGGAAGACTAACAAAAGGGGGTAGAGATGAAAAAGAAGAAGAAAGACCTGTCAGGAATCACTGATGTGTAGCCTTTTCTGCTTCTCTCCCTTCGTGTACGGTTTTCTCCCTCTGCACTCTTGTCTTGCACTTCACTCCTGCTTTCCCCATTTCTGTATGCTGCCACTTTTGTGTCTTCTTAAGCAGTATCTTCCTTGTTTCCCATCTTTCTTTTTCTCACTCACTCTCTTTCAGCTTTCTGGTTGTCAGCTCTTTGGGGTTGTCAGGAAAAACCAGGCCCAAACCTGATGTAATTACTGCCAGTCAGGGGGAGGAGACAGGAGGAAGAAACATGGGAAGCTAAGTGCCTCACAACCCTAAAGACCTGCCAATCTCACAAAAAGAGGCAAGAGAAAGTGCACAAGCAAGAGCAAGACAGAAAACAAAGTGAGGCGGGAGAGCCAAGCTGCAAATTAGCATCAGATTCATGCAAACCGATCAAACTTTATAAAGGTGAAAGAGCTCCAGAAGAAGGCAGGGAGACACATTAATAGACCACAGAACAACTTAATTTTACAAGCTGTTAAAGAGCAAGCTTTCAAGGTATAAGATGTAGCAGACATCACTTTTAACAGGATCGTGACTTCCCTCTGCCACTGAAATCCCACCTTTGCCACATTGCCAGGCCTCACCACTTCCGTTACGTACAAATGAAGACAAACTGCTCATTCTGTGGTTTAATGGACTTTGTAGGCTCTCCCTCCTGGGACAGGATACTGCAGAGAATTTAAGATGAGGCAAAGATGATTAAATATCCATACCTTTCAACTGACATCGCTTTTGAAATGACATTGCACCATATCCCTCTACTGCTTGCTTTTAGGGACGCAAAGCTTTAAGACCATGCACGTGCACTATCATCTATCTGTGTTAAAGCCCTTCAGATCTTTATGATCTGGGGTGATTACCACCCTTACCATAAAAAAAAAGGTGTTATCAGTCACCTTTACTTGTCTGTCTCAGCTTGAATTTGATCTGACTCGACAACCGCACTATCTCCACTGTCCTATTTGTCACTATCTGGTGTTGCATTATCTCTCGCTGCCCTTGCTGGTGACTTTTTTTCACTTCCAGCCGAGGGAGTGTTGAGAAGACAACTAATGATGGAGGGTGGATGGTGGGAGGCAGAATGGAAAGACAAAAGCAAGATATGTGTCTTGTGGGTAGCTGAAAAAGAAGATATACAGTGATGGAGTGTAATTTAAGTCTGTACCTCCAGCTTCACATACTGAGAAAAAAGGTATGTGTATAGTGAAGGTGCCAAAATCAAGGGCAAAGTGTCGGACAGGTGTGTGCGTCTGTTGTGTATGTGTGTGTGTAGAGGACAGGTAGGTCAATATGACTCAGCCCAGTGAAGTGTAACCTCATATCACCTCCTCTTGACGGAGCAGCATATCTGCTGTGAGAGTGGCTGCTAACTCTCAGAGGTATTTCCTTTTGAAAAGGTAATTAAGCTGTTAGGTACAGCACCCAGGAAGGTCGTTCCAAGCCAAATCCCTCAGTAGATTAACATGGCGTCACCGAACATTGCTCATTTGACTCTAAAAAAGAGCATCTAAATTAGTCCATGTGGACTCTTTTGCTGTGTAGGCTTTTTGTTGAAGTTTGATTTCTGCATAACCTTGGCTTCAACTTTAGGATGCATCTGAATATGTGTTTGCTTCATCCTTATGCATGGAGGATGAGGCAAGTGATCCGGTTATCCACCTTATTTCAGGCATCACAGAGACGGTGCCACGGTGTATTTGAGCAGCATGATATTGGCATCGAGTACCTCCCCACCAAACACCTTTTAGTCAACTCTAAGATAAAATTTCTATTTGCAGTCCAAGTTTTATATAAAAGAGGAAAGGAAAAAAATCACAGTTACCCTCATTTCTCTGTAATCTTCAAGCAGGTGAAACTCTATCACACAGTGATTTCATGCCTGTATAACACATTAAACTTGGACTCCTAAATACAGCATTCAGCAGACCAATGCTGCCAACACGTTTACCGATGATCCCAATTTGCTGGTCCTATAGCATGTTAGAGGTAAAGCATGGGGCTATTTACATCTCATCCATTCCACCAGACCCAGTTTTAACCCCAGGAATGAGCCATGAAATTACTTCATTTGAACGAGCAGGAGGGGGGGGGGAGAAGAAGAATCTGGTCGCAGCTTTAAAAATAAATATAAAACCCAGGACCCCAGGGTTTTTCCCATGATGCACTGCAGTCTATTATCCACTGTGACACGAGACATTGTCACAGAGGCTGGGGCTGAGGTTTACTTTTCACAAGCGATCAGTGTCAGGGGAACACACAAACGGAGAAATGGTAGTAAACAATGGACATCCACGACACAGGCTCCAAGTCCCGTCATCAACTCTGATCAGGGCACAGACGAGAGAAATGCCAACTTAATCTGTGTGTCTGATTGTGGGTGTTAGTAAATGCCAGCATACTCACACATACATACATTAATGGGCCTCACAATGCCAGGATGCATACTCATATATTCACACATCTGTACAATCCCCTGTCTGTATTTGTTTAAGCCAGAGGATCTGAGTCAAGCTGCAGAGAGGCTGTATATATGAGGCTGGATTCTGGATTCAAACTGCAGGGCAGTTATGGCTTACAGTGCACAGTGCAGCCAAGAACGCAGCTGGAGTTGCCATTTCTGTTATGATTTTGCCAGTGAGAACTTGCACTACCCTGAGAGCACCTAACAGAGAATAACAAAAGCTGGTATAGGAAATGCCAGGCCAGCCTTGGTCTCCTCTTTGCAAGCAGTGGTGTGTGAGAGAGAAAAAAAAAAGCTCTGTAATGGTCCCGCATTAAGGACAAAATGACTTTTATTCTCTAACTCTAGCCACCACCACACTCTCACAGAGACAGACAGAACTATTGATTATCCATCACTGTTTCAGAGAACATACAATTACAGATCACTTTAGATAAAACAGGCACAGACACAGACCACCTAACTCCTCCAATCGAGGTCACTGGCTGTCATATCCACTCCTGTTCAAAGGAACTTCCTACATGTTTCACACAAGAGGAAGAAAACGAAGGACTACTAGGAAGAGGAGACAGGATATAAGGGTCTGACACGGTCATGCTCTCTTAAGTGGATGACGAAAAGTAACCCAGAGTATAGGGAGAAATAGAACGTCAGGGAACTAGGCGAAATGGCAATTTACAAATGAAAGAGAATAGATGGAAAATGAAGCTTTAGAGAAGAGCATTAAAATTAATTGCACCAGGAAACGAAGGGGGGGGGGGCGAAGAATGAAGGTGTGAACTGCTAAGAAGATGAGTTTGTGGAGATCATGCATGTCTATTGTTTTCTCCCCTTCACAGCCAAGCTCCTGTATGATGACATGGGAGGACAGATTAGATCTCACTGACAATCAATAATCCAGAGTGAATGTCAGAGGCAGAGGGAGGATGAGGAAGGACAAGGGGGAGGAGATGAGCTTGAATAATAGAATTTGAGTTGTGACCAGGGCTGAGCAAACCAGGGAACAGACAAGATGCTTTGTTATAAACAATTTTATAGTAACTACACCCTGAAATGAAACTTAAAACTTGACTTTGGCAATGCATAACTATTCTGGTACCCGTGTGTTTCATTGCAAAGTGATGAAAGGAGCAAAAAACAGCAGCCTGAAAACAAGGATGCTGCATAACGTCAAAACTAGCTCAACACAAATGTGTATGAATTTGTTTTCTGTGTATAAAGAAATGTAGTTAAAATCATCAAACTGCCTATTTTGAATCTTTAATTCTGTTACTGTTTTCACATTGTTGCAAACTCAGGTCTCTTAATTGTTTCTGGTTAAAAATCTTTGTAAGCTGTGCCATCATCACCGCCTCCACCTTCAAATGTGGAAACACTCATGTGTTGTTTCTGTAAACACACCTTTATTATTGCTTTGAGAGTACATTATGACGTATTATGTCGTTGAGGTAAGAGGGCTTGTTGTATGGGTCTCATTTCAAGCCCCGTATTTTTACACTTGACTCCACCGTGGTACAGTAGCTTTGGATCGTTCACACTTTAAAAATAATCCTCATTTATCTGATACTGGACCTTTCTGCAAACCTGTGGCTCATCATCATGCTGTGGCCCCACAGCATATCCACTCTCTCTGACATCATACAAATCCAAGAATTGAAAAATAAACTTAACCCAAGGATAAGAAACAGTCTGAATCCTGGCCTGACCTCTTTATTTAAAACTTTGACCATATGTAGTTCCCTTCACATTATAAAATGGAAAAGATCCTAACATAAAGGCAACTACAGTAAGACTGTAGCAAGCGGGTTGGTTGTAGTAATTAACTACAGAAAATTATCCTCTGAGTCATTAGCCATTTTCAGTGAAAAACTCAGTGTACATTAACCGCCTTGCACCAAATGCCAGATGGCAAGTAACAAAAGGGTGTGATATTAATAGTATACAGCATTCATACATCATCAAGCTTGTGTGAGTGTGGATTGGTCAGAACTGGCTGACAGAGACCTGGCTGGCATGTGAGGACACTACCCAGCAACTGAAATCACATTACCATGTGAATGTTTCAAATACTGAAAGTAAAGACATTGTAGATCTAGTACTACTTCACCTATACAGCCTACATATATGTACCGTTTACTCTATGACACTTTGGCAGTCTGCAGTAGGCATCCACTTATATAATGAATCCATAGAGTAATCATTACAATGAATCAGTGATTTTCCATTAAAGCCTCAAGTGTCACACGGCAACCAGTATCAGTGTTTATGTACATGTTTGTAAAATATTATTTAACAAGAACTACAGAGGTAACACAGATCAATCTGCCTATTCACAACTACTCAACTGCTATCATTCACAATGTGTGAAAAGCTTTGACAAATGTAATGAAATTAGCCTCATTAGGACTTAGAAATTAATCAAGGGAAATTAGACAAGGCATGAAAATTTACTTGAGGTGCTCAGACCGAGCAAAGCGTGGTATACATTTTCAAATACTCGTGACAGTGGCAGTGGTATCCCCAGGCAGATGTTATAATATTATAACTCAAACATGCAGAACTGTCCATCCAGAATTGTGCACTTTGCTGATTTAATTCCATGTTTAGAATTCACTTTTTCAGATGTTTCAGAGAGAGACCGTTTGTCAAACGTGCCGTCCTCCTCTACGCCACAGGAAATAATCCAAAATAATGATGGAAATGAAATGACATAACGTCTCTGCTAAGAACAAAATTGGCTTCTTAAACATGCGGTGTTTGTTTACAGCTGTTCCCCTGAGTGGCAAAACATCCTCAGTGAGTGGATTAACGGATGCTTGGGTGCAAAATATCAAAGCTCTGAAAAACTCAATTTCCTCCTCAACTTACAACCATGTCCTCGATAAAGCCAGCAGGAAATTAGTCATTTAACAGGTTATCGCAAAACAATAGCAGCATTCATCTCAATGTCAAAATATTATCTTTTCATTTAAAGAGCAGTTTAAGCCTATCACTGGAACCAAGAGCTATAAGCCAGATGGCGTGCTAATAAACTCTAAAGTGGTTCAAGCAATGAGACTAATAGGTTTTCTCGTTATTACTGTTTTGTTTTTTCCTCTAAATTGAAATTAAAGAAGCAATTTGAAAAAGCAAAATGCAGTATGGTAGTAGTTCCCAGTTCACACATACCTTCAGTGATAGCCTGAAAGGCTGTCCGGCAGGAATTTGCTAAACTTTGTCTGCTGATCATAGAGAAATCATCTCTTCATACTATTACACGATAACTCCATATGGAGGTGGTGATCATCCACAAGGGTTAAAAGCTCCTGGAGTGATGCAAGGGAGTCTGTGCACAAGCTGCCACTCATAAACACACACACAGTGGCCTACAGTGGTGAGCATGAGCCGCACTTATTTGTGATTGTCATGTGGTCTGTAAATCAATGCAGTGCACTCACACTGCGGTCTGGGTTCAGTACTCAATATGTTATTGAGTGTCCTTAAAGCTTTACTGTCACACAAACCCCGCATTTGCTTATGTATGTCAGCACTCATGAAGCCTTCGCCACATATTAGAGAGGAAACATCGGAGCATAGCGTGGCCATAATAACCATTCGATAACACACAATGTACAAGCACACACACACACACACCCACTCACACACACACACACTATTCTGCATAAATAAACACAAAGGTTATTGAACACCAGAGGATTTGCAAACAAAGAGGTGAATAAATGACCATTGTGAGCATTAGTTGATAATCTGCTCTACACCATCCCTGAATCCATACAAAGACGCCAGGATGAGGGGATAAAAGATGATAAAGAGGAGGGGGGAGTAGGCTTATCAAAAGAGTGGAGAGCTGGTGTGGGGGGGGAAAAAGAGATAAAAGTTAATGCTCTGCAGAAGCTAAGAGGTAAACAGAGAAAGACAAAAGAGCACAGTGAGGCGAAAAGGAAAATGTGCCAATGAATCTGGAGCTGAGATAGATGGGTCGAGACTGAAGGCTCCAGACAGGGAGTTAGTTTGCAAGCAGCATGAATGATTAGAAACTCAGCAATAGAGGCGGTGATAGTGTTAACACTTCTGTCTGCCAACTGAAATATAACTCAGCGCTTCGAAGTTTTAAAAGTTTGTTGCAATGCTCATGTGATGCGATCCAGGAGGCTTCTTCTAATCTTTCCGGGAGGGAAAGAAAGAAAGAAAGAAAGAAAGAAAGAAAGAAAGAAAGAAAGAAAGAAAGAAAGAAAGAAAGAAAGAAAGAAAGAAAGAAAGAAAGAAAG